ATAAATCCGCAGTTTCCATAGAATGGCTTAAATATAAATGAATAATGATGGAAGGCTAATGAAAAGCGCCTAAAGTTAATAATTCATTTAATTTCTTGCCAGAATAGCTTTCAATTACACATGATCGTTCATAATGAAGAATAGTTGAAAGATACACTACGTAGCACAAGTCAGAATAAACGTTATCAAGCAGCAATAAAACTAGCCCCTCGAGTAAGTTCTGCTAAGAAGGCACAAGCTCGAGGCTACAAAGTGAATGTCGTGAACAGCATACAAATGCAACTACTCAAATAGGCCAGGTCGAAATCGCGAAAAACGCGGAACACGCGGAACACGCGGAACACGCGGAAAATTGAAATTTTGCGTTAAGCTTCTGGAATGAAAATACATAAACAAAGCAACAGAGCTCTTTCAAGAATTGAAATATAAGACCTTATTTTCAGTTGAATGAGAATTCCGCGTTTTCCGCGTTTTCGATTTCGAGCGAGGGTGAAAATCGAAAACGCGGAAAACGCGGAAACCTTTAATAACCAATTATATTTGCTAATTTGATGACAAGAGAGGTATATAAGGAGTTATTAAGCCTTTGGTAAAGTTTAACACAGATTTTGTGGCTGCTAGAGCAACAACGCAGTTTGTCTTAAACATCTCTTACGTTGGCACAAATCTTCCACCATTTTCACCGGTTCGACCAGTAAGGTAATGATAAAATGTCCCCGATTTGTTTTCTTATCAAGCACAGACAAGATTGTGTAGGAAAACCCCTTGGAAAATCGGCTGGAACCGATTTCCGCGTTTTCCGCGTTTTCGATTTCGAACGAGAGTGAAAATCGAAAATGGGGTATCTAAAATGGCAGAACAATATTGTTCTCGAGAAGAGATCGAATAATAGCAAAACAGTATCATTTTAACAGCATGTGTAAAATAGCAAAATGGTAACATTCACAATAACAGAACTTAATAACAAAACAGTAACATTTTATCAGCGTATATTAAAATAGCAAAACAAGATCACTTCAAATAAGGTATCTAAAATGGCAGAACAGTAGCATTTCAATAGGGTATCTAAAATGACAGAACAGTATTGTCTTCGAGAAAAGATCGAAACAGTATCATTTTATCAGCGTATTTAAAATAGCAAGAGAGAAGCATTTGTAACGTGTGCATGTGTGCATGTGATGTCATGTTCGAAGGCACATCTGTAGAATCATGAGTTTTCTAATGGTGTCATTAGGCAATGCTAGTTAATGACGTATTGCTTGTGCTCGTCATGTGATGACATGTCACGTTTATCAATAAATTGGAAAACCGTGATTGTTCGAAGATTAGAGAATCGGAATATGCACTAGAGACACGTCTGTTTCTGTTGTCCGTTCTGCCCGGTCATAACAAATTGGTGACAGAGGTAAAAGCAATGGCGAGTAGCATTTTGCCGGAAAAGTTTGATTCTGGTGATTTCCCGAATTGGCTTCGCCAATTTAATTGTTGTGCCTCCGCTAATGGCTGGACAGACGACCAAAAGTTGCAAAAGCTGCCGGCATTTTTGCGAGGGTTGGCGGCTACGTATTTTCATACATTATCCGATGATGAAAAAGATACGTTTGCACATTTAGCAACCAGTCTCCAGACTGCCTTGTGTCCTGCTGTCGGACGAGAAGGCTATTTTCGAGAATTTGAAGATCGTGTTTTGCGTAGTGGTGAGGATCCTAGTGTGTTTCTGTGGTCTCTTCAGGAATTGCTGAAAAAGGCGGATCCGACTTTGGAAAAAGCTGCCACTTCTGCCTTGTTATCCCGACAATTTATGAAGGGACTTCCCAATACCATTCGTTATAAACTTCTTGAACATAACCCGACCCCGAAGTTGGATGATATGCTCTCCTTTTCCAAACAGTTTCTGGCGATAAGTGACAATCATGGACCTCACCCTGGTTTGTTTGCAGCCACAGATGTCGTCCCTTCACCGACATCTATTGAGGGACGGCTGGACAAGCTAACAGCTGCAGTAGAGGAGCTGAAAATGAACAATAGTTTGTACGTAGCCACTGTTCAAAAAAAAGAACCGACCTCCCAATTTGCTGGACGTCAACAGCCAGTACGCCGTGTGACATGTTACTTTTGTTCTAAAGAGGGTCACATAGCAAGAAATTGCCCCCTAAAACGCACAAGCAGGGAACAAGGACCCATTGATGGTTCGTTCAAATGCCAGATGTGCAATGGCTCGGGACATATTGCTTCGCAATGTGCGAATAACTGGGTTGTTGACAATCCGAATACTAAGGAAGGTAATCGTGTTGCTAATGTAAAAAAATATTCCGAACCGATTTGTGTCGACTTTAAACTCCAAAGGGGTGGCCCAATAGAAGGCTGGGATGGTCACCCCGGATTATATATAATTGGAGACAGTACTGTTTGTAGTAATCAACAGTCTATCCAGTCTCTTACCCAGCCCTTTGTTAAGTGTTTGTTAAATGGGTTGCAGGTCGAAGCTTTAATTGATACTGGATCTGCAAAGTCCTTTTTGAGTAAATCTGTTTATGCTGCTATTGTAGAACAAAAGTTAAACAAGCTTGAGGGGGGAGATGTAGGAACTTTCAGCAGTACTACCTCCGATCGGTGCATTTCCGTGACAGGTCAAGCCCTGCATATAACAGGAGTTTTTGAGGGTAGTGTTACTTTACATGACAGTAGTGTTTCTTACTTTCATCGATTTGTTGTTTGCGATAATATGTTATCACCGTTGCAATGTATTTTGGGTTGGGATTTTATTCAAGCAAATCGATTGCAACTAGTTAATGATAGAAGAATTTATTATTTATCTGGTCCACATGGAAATTTACCCTTAACCCCTGTTTATGAAAACAGTAAAGGGTCTTCCGAAACTTTATTTCAGTCATCTACTTTAGGCCCAGTACCTGTTAAATTAACTAGTGCTATAGTTGTGCCTCCAATGTCAGAACTTGTCATCAAGTGCAGTATTTCAAGAAGTTCCAAAAATTTGGTAGGTATGATAACATCGAATTGTGACCCATCCTCCCTTCCCACAGTCCATGTTGCTCATGTAGTTTGCTCTGCTAACAATCGTGTTGTACCTGTTCGACTTTTAAATAATCATACTAAAGAAGTTGAGCTTCAAGCAGGGCAAAAGATTGCTGAATTTTGCCCCCTTGTTAGTCAAGGAGTTGAACTGGGCACCTCGAGTTGTAGTGCTGCGACATTTAGTAATGGTGATAAGTCTCACGAAGAGCTCGCCGCGGCAATAAGTTCCTCTCTATTGCCTGAGCAAAAGGCTTCCATTCTGGATGTGCTATACCGGTATTCAGAGGTATTTGAGGATACTTTAGGCCATTCTTCTGTTGTTACTCATTCTATTGACACGGGGAATGCAGCCCCTATTCGCCAGCACCCCCGACGTCTTCCATTTGCATACAGGGAAGATGCTCAACAGCAAATCGCGAATATGTTAAAACAAGGGGTTATAAAGCCAAGTACTAGTGCATGGGCATCCCCAATTGTTATGGTTAAGAAGAAAGACGGTAGTTATCGATTTTGTATTGACTATAGACGCCTTAATGCAGTCACTCAGCGAGATGCACGCCCTCTACCACGAGTCGATGACCTTTTAGACTCTCTTCAGGGTTATAAGTACTTTAGTACTTTAGATCTACGCTCAGGGTATTGGCAGCTTGATGTCAACCCGAAGGATAGGCATAAGACAGCTTTCGTTACTCCTCAAGGATTGTGGGAATTCGTTCGCCTCCCTTTTGGATTGTGTGGAGCTCCGTCAACGTTTGACCGAGCCATGAAAATTATAATGTCAGGGTTAAATTACGAAAGTTGTCTGTGTTATTTTGACGATATAATTATTCCGTCAATAGATATAAATCAACACTGCGAGCGTTTAGAATTGGTTTTAGAGAGACTACAAAAGGCAAACTTAAGAGTTAAAGCTTCTAAATGTCTTTTTGGTGCAGATAAGGTTGTTTATCTAGGTCATACTGTTTCTGCGGAGGGAATTCATACTGAACCGGGCAAAATTGAAGCAGTTCAAAAAATGTGCCCCCCAAATAATGTGGAACAAGTGAGATCCTTTCTTGGATTGGCTGGGTATTACAGAAAATTTATTCCCAATTTTGCAACTATTGCGGCCCCATTGACGAGTTTAACCAAAAAGGGTTGCAAATTTCAGTGGTTAACGGTTCATCAGCGATCTTTTGACTTATTAAAACGGCAGTTGTGTAAT